CAAGTGATATAATACCAGTGAAATCCAGGAAAAGCGCCCTTCTGAAAATTTAATGTTTAAGAAATCGCAGTGGAATTATGAAGTATTTAGAACTGAATGGCAATGAAGGCACTATTTTTGAAAACTTGTAGGCTACAGATAAAGCAAGAGAAATTTCCCTTCAAGAGAAATTGATAGCACTAAATTAATATCAGAAAATAAGAAAGACAGGAAATTAACGTTAGATATATATTTAAACTGGAAAGCTTACCCCCTTTCCCCTTCATTTTAAGGAGTAACATGTTCAACTTAGTGAAAATGTCAAGCATTAATAAAAATAAACACAGAAATTAAGTAAATATATGTTTGAAAAGAAACAGATATGATCAACAAAGGCTGCCCGTCTAAAAAGGCTGTAGACAAATGTTTACAGGTTTGTCCAAAAAATATAAACTTTTGTTAAGAAAAAAAAAAGTAGAAAATTCAAAAATACATCAGGAATAAAAAATTAGAATATTAGTACAGATAATGTAGTATATTTTAAATTAAGAGCATATGGACTCTCTACCAAAAATTTGAAGGTTTAAGTGCAATATCTAAATTTTTAGAAAAATGTGAATTACCAAAATTGATTAAAGAACTAGGAAACCCAAACTTTTAAAATATGATGGATTCACAAAGAGATTTACCAAACATTCAAGAAAATAATACCTATCTCATGCAAGCTGTCTCAGAAAATAGAAACAGAAGGAAATTTTCAGATGCATTTATGAAGGTAGCATAAACCTGATCCCAAACACAGATAAGGACAGTGCAAGACAGGAAATTTATAAGCCAATATTACTTATGAACAAGATGCTAAAATTCTTAAAAACGCAAAATTATATGAAGCAGTGTACTAAAAACTGATAGCACATTAATGGCAAAGCAGGCTTCCCCTGGAATTCAGTGACAGGTTCCCATTAGAAAACTCTATCAATGTGACCTGTTGCATTCACACATCACAGACAAAAATCTATAACCATCTCAATAGTTTTAGGAAAAGCATTTAATAAAATTTCAATATTCATTTCATGGCTTAAAAATATTCCTCCTTTAAACACAACTGGGATAGAATGGAACTACACTAACCTGATACTGTTTTCTGTAAAAAACATAGAGATACGATGACACTTTCGAAACATTCTCAGCAAGACAGGAATAGGCAAACAGTGCTTCCTCTCACCCTTCTTATTTGATATATTGGAGGTCTCCACACATCCAGTGAGATAAGAAAGGGGAAAAGCTGTCAGGAGTGTTATTTATAGGCAGTATGATTACCTACATGAAAATATGAAGAATCTACAAACTAACTGTTTAATAAGAATTTAAAATGTTTTGCCTTTTAAACAAGATGATTCAATTTCCAAACAGCAGCAATAACCAATTAAACGTTTTCATAGAAAAAAAGACCACACTTATAATAGCAACAAAAGCTGCACAGTATCTAGGGGAAAATAGCAAAGCAATATGGGCATTTTGTAAACAAACTCTAAAATGTTACAAAGGATATTTAAAAATCAGAATAATATTCATGTGTTGGAGTATTCAATTTTATAAAGATGTCACAGGTCCCTAAATCTAACCTTAAATTTAATTCAGCAAAATACTAAATAAACTTTTTCTTTGGAACTTGACAAACTGATCCTAAAGTTGGTATAGAAGAGGATAAGTCCCAAACTAGCCAGACCCATTTTTAAAGTGGACAAAGAGGGGCATGCCCTTCTGCACATCAAGTCTTATTATAAAACCATAGTAATTAGTGTGGTGTAGTAATTAGAATTGGTTTGATCCACAGAAAAGGACAAACTAGGAACATATCCATGAATATATGGAAATTTAATTTGCAGTCATGGTGGCATTACACATTAATAGGGAGATGAAGACTGTTCAGTAAATCAGGTCACAATAGCCTTTCTATATTGGGGGAGAAAGAAGGAGTAAAATTAAATTCCTGTTTTACACCATTTGTAAAGATAAGTCCCAGATGGATCAATTTCACATGTGGAAAGCAAAACTTTCAAACACTAAGGAAAAAGATATAAGAGGCTGTCTTCATACATCAGGTATAGAGAAGTTTCTTTAATAATATACAAGTGATACAAACTATTTAAAAAGAGACATCAATGAATATGGCTACATTTAATTTTTTCTATGGCAACAAAAGACATCAAAAGTTAAAAGACAAACTACAGACTGACACAAAATATTTAATGTTTATGCACACAAACTCCTACACATCAAGAGGATAAAAGATAAGAACATATACAGCTTACTGGACAAATGAAGGAAGACTGTGAACAAACAGATCACAAATTCAGAAATGTCAACAGCCAATAAATATATTGGGAAAAAAAAGCTCAACCTCACTAGCAGTGGGGGAAACTCAAATAAAACAAGATACTGGGTTATTTAAAAACCAAATTGGCAGAAATAAGAATCTAGACAGTATTTAATGTCATCTGAGGGAAACACCTCACCTATACTTTGGTGGGTGCACAAACTAGAATACCATTTGGCAGCCTGATAAAACTGAAAATGTGTGTGCAGCCTAGTAATTCCCCATCCAGGTAGAACACATAGAGAAATTCTCACATATGTGCAAGGAAAACATGTACAAGTAATACCAAGATGCTGGCTGGCAGCAGCTGAAATATTCATCAATAGGGGCATGAATAAACACGGCACATTCATATGCATGGATCTACAATATAGCAATTAAAATGAATGAACTGGATCTATATTTATGAACATGAAGAAAAAAAATACCATGAAGAAGAAAAAAAAGCCATAGAATGTCATGTATAGTGTAACACCATGTATGTACATTTTAGAAATCATTCAAAGCAATATTCCATATGGGTTCACATGCAGTAAAAGTGTAAAACCTAGATTGGAAAGTTGCATACCAAATTCGTGATAGTGTTTGCCTTTGGGGAAAAGGGTGGAGAAGGGTACCAGGGAGGAATGCAAGGGGACTTTGATTTTATCAGAAATGTTAAGTAGTTTAATTAAAAAACAGATCTGAAGCAAATAAGACAAATGGTAACATTGATTAATTGTATGAGACAGGTACATGGGGACCTATAATATTATCTCTGCACTATTAAATATCTTTAGCTTTTTCTAAATAATAAAATTAAAGCAGCCAGTAAAGAATCCTATCTCTTATAAAATTTTAATGTGTAGGTTGTTAATCATCTGAGAATTTGAGGCAAGCAACTTTAGCAAACATTTTCAGTTTTTAAAGTGGAATCTCCTTAAAAATAATAGAGCTAACAATATTATTTTAAAACTGATGAAATGAATAAAGTAAATCCTATAGATGTTAACCTGGCTAGTTCTCAAAATCACATTGAGGGAGAAAAGCAGGTTACAAAATGACATGTACACTACTGTCCCATTCATAAAAAAAAATTAAGTACATAAACATGGTTATAAACATATATATTTACATATATAGGTAACTGAGTAATAAAAGTATAATAACAAATGCTGACAGAATACATACTTTATAATACTGATCACCTAGGGAAATAAAGGGGGTAGAAAGGTGAATGTGACTGGGGAGAAAAGTAAAGTGACATGCAACTCTAATGTTTAATATAAATTTCAAAATCTGAAGCAAATATGACAAAAATATCACATTTGATTAATCTGGTCAGTAAATAACATGAACATGTGTGTTATTCCTGATGCATTTGTATTTTTTAATTTTCAAAAGAAAAAGTACTGAAGAATTACAAATAAAATGCACATAATTCAATAATATAAAAGTAAAGCTTGTACACAAGCCAAACTGTGATATGACTGTTTTTAGAAATGATCCTGTTTGTTTTCTATGTGTTTTTTAATTTTAAAGACTAAAAAAGAGGAAAGCAAATGAGAGCAATGAACACAGGTAAAAGAAATTATTCACATATTTGATTATAAAAAAGAAAAGCCTCCACAATCATAAAACACCATATGAGCATTCTATATCATTTGCTGTGTTTTCTTATTCTTAATTTTTGCCAAAAGAAAAAATACAAGATGTTGCCTAATTGGAAACGTGACTTTCTATTATTAAAATTGTGGGAGTCCATTTTAATGTGTTTATCTCGCTGCTAGTCTATAATTTATATTTCAGCGTGGAAATTTGTTTGTATGCCTGTGACAGGTTAATGCAGTTATTACATGCATTTTTCTTTCGTTGGTTGAATAGTTAAATCGTTACTCAAAGGATTTTAAGTTTCAATTTCAACCATGAGAGGATTCTTCGCTTTTCCAAGGTTAAAATGTTTCTGGTTCAAAATGCTATTAATTAATAGCTACGTAGTGGATCTATTTAGGGAATTGCCACCGACCCTGGATTAACAGTTGAACTGCTAAATGGGAAAACTTTTTTTTTTTTTCCTTGATGCAGACTTGGGGATATTTTCAATTTGGTCTGAGAGCGGAGAACGGGAGTGAAATGTAATTCCAGACCACTTAGCCAACAATCGCAATTATGAATCGAAAGACAAGTCAGGTATTAGCATTTTTTTCCCCCTTAAAAAAAAAGTTTCTCGGACTCCGCCGGACACCCAGCTGGCGGAGGACCAGCCGGCGCGGGGGGGCCAAGCCGGCAGGCTGCCCAGAAGTTACGATCGGGGAGTTTTCGCTTTATTAAAATTACCTGGCTCACCAGCAGAAGAAAGAACGCGAAGACAAGATAATTTCTTAGGCTGTTAAAAATGACTTAGCCCGGTGGGCCGCGCATTCCGGGGGTGTCCTGCCGGCCGGGGCGGGTCCCCGGCGCCCCCGCGGGCTCCGGTGCGTCAGGGGCGCGTCAGGCGGGGCGGGCTCGGCACGGGCGGCGGCGGCGGCGGCGGGCGGCGGGCGGCGCGCACCCGGCCTCCTGCTTCTCGCTCCTAGGCTGCGGGACGGACGCTCCCGGGAACTCTCTCGCTCGCGGCCGGCCGCGCTCTGACGGCGCTCGCCGGCTGCCGAGCGGTCCCAGCATGTCGGCAGCCGTGGCGTGCATGGACTACTTCGCCGCCGAGTGCCTGGTGTCCATGTCCGCGGGCGCCGTGGTTCACCGCCGCCCGCCGGACCCCGAGGGCGCGGGCGGAGCCGCTGGCTCGGAGGTGGGTGCGGCGCCGCCGGAGTGCGCTCTGCCGGGTCCGGGGCCACCAGGGCCCGCGTCTGTCCCCCTGCTCCCCCAGGTTCCCGCCCCCAGCCCCGGCGCGGGTGGCGCCGCGCCCCACCTGCTGGCTGCAAGCGTCTTGGCTGATTTGCGCGGCAGCTTTGGGGAGGGCTACGGGGAGAACTCGGGGGAAGCTCTGCGCGCCTCGTCTGGCTCCACCGACCCGACCCAGTGCTCCAGCCCGACCCAGGGTTCCGAGCCGGCCTCAGCCTCCGGTGCAGACGCGTTCTCCGAACCCGCGAGCTCCTCCGGCTCGCCTGCCGTCCCAAGTGCGCCAGCCGACCCGGGAGCGCTCGACGACGCCGGAGGGGTGTCTGGAGGGGCCCCAGAGGCTGGCCCCGCACCCGCAGCAGGTCAGATGTCCCGGAGAAGGCCAGTAACACCTGCAGCCAAGCGACATCAATGCTCCTTCACTGGCTGCACCAAAGCCTATTACAAGTCATCGCACCTTAAGTCCCACCAGCGTACCCACACGGGTGAGCGCCCTTTCTCCTGCGACTGGCTCGACTGCGACAAGAAGTTTACGCGTTCCGACGAGCTGGCCCGCCACTACAGGACGCACACGGGTGAAAAGCGCTTCTCCTGCCCCCTCTGCCCCAAGCAGTTCTCCAGGAGCGACCACTTGACCAAGCACGCCCGCCGCCACCCAACTTATCATCCTGACATGATTGAGTACCGGGGACGTCGTCGCACTCCCCGCGACTACCGGCAACCCACCACCGTGGTGGGAAGCTCCTGCTCCGGCTCTGGCTCCGGTTCTGGCTCTGGCCAGGAGCCCAGCCTCCCTACCAGCCTGTAGGACAGTCATTGCTGTCAGTTATCCCCCCCCCCCCCAGGACGATCTCCCAGACCATTTTCCCTGCCTTCTCTCTGCCTATCCCTCTTTTATCAGAGTCATTAGACCAAGGCACAGACTGGTTCCTCCGCTCTGAGGGTGGTTCCAGGTGGGCATGTTGGACTCTGGGGAGGGACTGGGAGCCAGAAAATAACGGGAATTCTTGCAACACAAATATCATCCAAAAAGGAGGGGTTGATCAAGACAACCCCCAGGAACTGGTGAGAAGGGATGAACTCTGGTACTCTCCAGAGTACTGAAGATTCTCTCTTCCCAGGAACCAGAGAACTGAAATTCTCAGATGCCTGAGGAACTCCCAGTCTTAAAGGACTCGGGTGCCTCACCCACCCACCAGGGCGGACCTTGGAGAGGGTGACAGGGGTGGTGGTCTTGGAAATGTCCAGGACTGGGATGGTGAGAGGCCTTTGGAAACAGAAATGATTTCTATTTCTGTAAACAGCAATGTTTACTAATTTATTTTTAGTATCTTTTAACCAAGGATTCCAGGTTCATGGGAGGCGAATGTCCTCCACTTCCCCAATTGCCCCAGTTAGGAGAGACAGTGCAAGTGTCCAGTGGATGAATGGTTGGGAGATGATTCTTGGTGTGTGGGGAGTGGTGTGAGTCTCTTTGTAGGTCCTCTAGCATAATTTGGAACCCTCCACTTGCACCGTAACCCTTTTCCCCATTTAAATTCTTACTTGGGGATGGTAGCTTCCTGGCTCACTCTCATAATGAGATTGCTTAAACAATTTGGAAATAACCATAAAAACACAGAAAGAAAAGGGTGGTACAAACTAGTTACCCCTTTTCACCCAGATGGCAAACCTAAGCAACTTTTGATGGGGGCTGGTCCCAAACAAGTACTTTCAGAACAATTGATAACATTCAGGGAAACTGAGGCATGTGATTCCAGCTGCCTCATCCAAAGCAATCTCAGGGGTGATAGATTCTGTTCATTTAATAATGGCTAACTAGGGGGGGGGGGTTTCCCTTCAAGATCTTTACACTTTTGTTTTTGCTACAGGTGAGTTGGTGTTGGAGGGTGGGTGTGAGAGACTGATTTCTTCCAAAGACCTGGCTGCCTTTGGATTTGGGGAGGGAACAGCAAAGTGATAGCTTTTATCAAACAGGAGGATCCTTCTCCTCTGACCATGAAGTCCCTCCAAGTTACATCTTCAGGGCCCTTCTCCTCCAATGATCGGAACAAGGTATCAACAATATTTGTTTTTTCTATTATGTGTCCTTGCTGCTTGGGATGAAATCATCAACTACTCTGTTTATATATGTGAGAATGTGTATATATGTGACTCTTTCATTAGAGATGAGGCTGAGGGCTGGGGATGTGGCTCAGTGGTAGAGTTCTTGCCTGATAAACATGAGGCCCTTTTGTGGCCGGGTGTGGGGGGATGGGTTGGGGGGTTGGTGGGGGAGCCAGCGTGGGTGAGAGTGGTGTGAGGCTGAAAGTTGATTCCTTATGATGAGGTCCTCCAGCCCCCTCCTCAATATCTTATAATTATATCCCATCATTCACAAATGTGGGAGATGTCATAATATTATAGGACCGTAACAGGCACCTGGTTAAACAAACCACTTGCCCCTATTTTACAGATGAAGATACTGAAGTCTGTATCATCTCAAAATCATGCTGAGTTACTGGCAAGAGCTAGAACTAGAATTAGGGTGTCTAACCTTCTAAGTGACTCTTTCCCTCACACTTGGTTTCTTGTCATCCCCCTTCCCTGGACCTTTAGATAAAGGACACCACTCTACTTTTCTTCAACCAGGATCCCCTCCCACCCTATCTCCTATAATTTCTATGTCTCTTTAAATGTTGGGTCTTCCCTTGAACCCTTTGCCTATTTTATCTAACTCAAAAGTCCTTTTTCTTAACAGGTAAAGTCCATTCCCAACCTTGCATACCTTGTAGAGTTAAAGTGAGAATGGCTTTTGCTTTCTGGGAGAGTCTTTTTCTTTGGGCTTGCTAGATTAATTTTCATTGCCAGTTCTCTTCTTTGTCTGGTCTTGGGCATTCCAGTGTCCTTGATAGCATTGGAATGATACCAAGTCCTCCTAAACTGTTAGGGGGGCATCTTTAGAAAGGACACCCCAAAATGTGGCCCGTGTCCCTGCTGACAGCTAAGCATGACAGGTGGGGCTGTCCTTGAGTAGCATGTGGACAAAGGAGGCCCCAATTTAAGGAGGTGATTTTTGGTAGCAGGAAAAGTCCTCCTTTGGTTCTATTTGTTCCCTCAGCTGGGGCTGAATAGATAGGGCACTGTGGGTCCCACTGAAGGCTAGAGCTTACTCTTTTTCCCCACCTATAGAAGGTTGGGTAAATGGACCAAAGAAACTAACAGGAAAGGAATTCTTATCAATTATTCTGGAACTGGACTCAAAAAGGCCTGGCTTTTTCAACCATCCACTGATAAATAACTTTAGACTCTCTATTCCCAAATAGTGTCCTTATTTGGGTTCTACCTTGAGAATTTTTGTCTGGGGATGGCCTCTGACAACCAACATGTGATATATCTTTCATTGACGAAATGATTACTCTCAGGTCTTATAGTGGTGGGGAGGGAGACACCCAGGACCCCGGAGTAGGTAGACAATGGAAACAAGATTTTTAGGTGGTCTTTCTTGGTCTAAGTATTGCTATTCTTTTCACTCCAACAGCCAGACAATTCTTGAAGAATACTTAGTATTGAAATGCCTTGGAGGGGGCTTTCTAGATATATTGGTGTTTCTTCTTCTTTTTGTTAATCAGACAGACCTCATTGAGTGAATGTGTCTTGTGGTTGGTTGGGATCAGCCTGAACCTCTGGGTCCTTGTCCCACCCTGACATTCTAAGATCTGATGTAGGAATGACCTAGTAATGCTATTTATAATAGAAATCTTCCAGAAATCTGGGTTGGAAGCTGGGAATGAATTCTGGGTCAGACCTGGGATGTGAGGGAGATGGATCCACTCCTACTTCTGGGAGGAAATGAAGAACAAAGGCTTTGTCCCCACCCATGGAGAGAAGAATCTGTCATTTGTCCCTATTCTCTATTCTTCAAGTGGGGAACCATGTTGCCCAAGGCCTTTTTGCCCTGTCTCTATGACACATTTCTCCCCTAAGGAAAAAGATTATGGTCTTTAATGGACACTTAGAAAAGAGGGTCATTGTGCACACACATTCTACACTCCCTTATCTCTCTCACATCTACCTGGATGCTGCGCATCAGCACTCCACTTGGATTGGATCTGGCTCTCATATGGTAAGCACACCTGCGGAGATCCAGGTCTATCTTCCAGAGGCAGATCGAAGAGTGCCTTTCTTTTCCTACTTTTGGGACAGCCAAGCCCCTTGCTGTTATCCAGGTAAGTGTTTATTTACACGTTGTCCTTTGGGTGGGTTATCCCAAGATCAGGAATTGTGATGTTGTATATTAGAAAGTCTTGATCATGATACAGCTTCATTAGCAAAACACTGATATTTTGGTGTTCATTATTTTGGTTCCTTGGAGGGAAAAGGAATATGATTAATTTTTTTTTCCCTTAGACCTATCACAGCTGTTTAATATGGAGGAATAGGCTTTCCATCTGGAATTGAGGAACCAAAGTAAGATGTGTAGAGAGGTTGGATGTCTGGTGTGCCAGACCACAGGACTTTAATACTTTAGCAACCTTGGACCTTACAAGTCTTTGAATTTGTCATGTTTAAACAGTTTATGGTAGCTACAATCCATCTGCAAGTGACTACTTTTTAGAGGCACTGGGCATAGGCTTTTAAAACAGTGAGCTGTATGGGCCACTGTGACTGATCTTGATTCCCATATATAGAGCTGAGACTATATATGGGAATATATAGAAAGGGAAAGCAATGTACCATCGAATGGGTCAATTTGTGTAACCTTTATATTCTCAGCCAACGGCACAAGTTGCACATATACTTAGGAATACATGCTGGGCATGCTGGTGCACACCTGAATCCCAGCAGCTCAGGAGGATGAGGCAGAGGGATCAAAAGTTCAAAGCCATCATCAGCAATTTAGTGATGCCCTAAGCAACTTAGAGAGACCCTGTCTCAAAATTAATAATAAATAAATAAATAAATAAAAAAGCTGGGGATGTGGCTTAGTGGTTAAGTGCCCCTGGATTCAATCCCTGATACCAAAAGAAAAAAAAAAGTACAAGTTTAAGAGATTGTAGTGCTTAGATTGTACTTTAGATCAGTTTTAACTAATTTGGTTCCCCTTTATCTTGATTTGAATTGCATCCTTTTTAGGAGTAGAGAGAGCAATTTCTTTATTTCATATGGGGTAGAGACACATCTTCTATTTTTGCGCAGGGGCCATGCTAATCTTCTCTGTATCGTTCCAATTTTAGTATATGTGCTGCCGAAGCGAGCACAACATCTTCTATTTTTGTTCCTAGTGCTGGTAGATTTGTTGAGTAGGTAAGCTCTGAGAGTAGGATTTCAGGTACTTAATTGAAATTCTCTGTGTGTTCAACCACAGAGTAATGATGGATTTTACCATAAATATACAAAAAGGAATGGAAGTATTTGTTATATGGGGGTTTGAGGAAGAGAGAGGAATCTATTATGATTCCAAAAACAAAAGGGAATTAAAAAGGGCTAATTCCTATTAGGAATCAGCTCTATCCAGGAAATCAAGTAGGAGCCATATTTGTTTTAAATATATATTTAGAACTTGAAGTCAAAAGAGAAGCAGTAGAATGGTGGAAAATAAATAAAATAAGGAAGGCTGATAAAGCTGGGGGAAAATAAATATTTCTTTAGAAGAAAAGCTGCCTTCTTAGATGACAATATTAATAATAAGAAAGGAAAAAAATAAGAAAAACCAGGAGATAATGAATCTTAAAGATAGGATTATAAAAAGGGGTGGTATTTTAGTCATTGCTAAATTAGAACAGGTGATTGGAAAGAGATGTAACAGAAGAATGGAAACAAGCTTTC